AGATTGCGAAAATCACTAAATCAGTAAACGAAAGAATAAATGCGCGCGCGCGAAACCCTTCAAAAATTATTCATCAGTATCGATCGTCATTCAGACTTTTTAACAGCCATGTAGAATACATGAAATTGACGAAAGAGTGCTCCTTTTCATGTCCCATTTCTTATCTTATTTGTTAATCTAGTGATTTCTGTAATTTGCGTTTTTTGCATCGTCTCTTGGCTTTTTCGTCATGATTATCCAAAAATGGTTCGTCTTATTGATCATCGAAAAATTGTTGTACGAAAAAAGCAACTCATTTCAGCATACTCGCGTATTTATTGATAAATTTTCCCGCAAACTCGCTAATTATATGTCTGTCAACCGAGCTCTCTGAATTTCAATACATTGTTTTTGTTCTTTTTTCGGGTCAATGTATATCCGCCATCGAAGTTACGTTTTCTCACGAAGTCGCGTGCTCATCTCGAAACGTGAAATTAAGTCACAATTAAGCAACTCAATGTATCTAATATTTAAAGGCATTAAAAATTATTATTATTAACAATATAATCAACAGTAGTAATGAAAAAAATTAACAACAATCTTTATGTGACTCCCTGAATAAAAAATAAATTTTATTAGAGTTTCGACAAATAAAATCTCAAATTTTATTTTTTGGGTTTTGATTTTTTCAGAACACAACGTGCGCACGCACGTGTACGTACACTGAGAGAAAAATATAATTGTCTTTAACGTCAACTATACGCTTTTATGATTTTAACTACAAAAATAATTGGAAGAACCATTTTAGTAAGTGTTATTAGTTAGTTAAAATCACAAAAAAGTATAGCTGACACCGAAAGCAACTATATTTTTCTCTCAGTGTATGTGTGTCTCGATTCTCCGAGATCAATGACGACGAGAGTTTATGAATCGCTGATATATATGAAACTAATGACCACTCGACTTTCGGGAAAGTTACGCGGGACGTCATCGAGATTTACCGCGGCTGTTTTGCACGGAGAATTACGCGGGCGCGCCACGTAATCACAAAATTTCCGAGCCAACGATGAGAATTCGATCATTCAGAAGAAAGTGCCACGACAATAAACATAGTATACCGATGATTCATGGACGCTGGGATGATGGCGTACGATCTTCCACAGAATTCCGTGGCTCAGAATGATACTTTCACCAAACTTCGATTTAGCTAATCGATGAATAACTCGGCAAAACTGTCCACACCGATTTTTACATGCATAATTTGTCGCCCAACAATAATAAAAAAATTTGTTATTTCTACCTATTTCACTAAAAAATCAAAATAGATCATATTTGCTTGATAATTATTGCCTTAAATCGTCGATTAAATTTGACCTTTGAGAAAAGCAACTCTTTATCAGACTCTAATTTTTCCTTATAAAGAAAATATGACAAATAGAAATTAAAAGCAGATTGCAATAACTTTAGTGGTGTAATTTGCTTCTCAATTTTTGTATTGTATTATATATATATATATATATATATATATATATATATATATATATATATATATAATAAAAAAAATCAGAAAAAACTATTAAATTGGATTGCCAAAATTATCAGAGTCACAGTAAACATATTATAGACATTATTAATACGTTATTATATATCATGTTAAATATTAAACACGATAATGAAAAATATAAATCATTATGACTGTTCATTTTCAAGATTATTACAAAATTAAAGCAATAAATTACAAGATACACTGTACAGCTTGGTAACAATGTTCCCGTTTTCGATGTTTATTGTTTAAGTACAAAGATACATGTTGATACTTTTGCTTGCAATTCACAACATGTACTTCTTTACATAAGAGTCCTGCTAATCTTTTCGGTATATTAAAAATTTGCTATTTACTTTTTAGTCTTACTCTTTTCGGTTCATTTTCTTATAGTATACTGTAAACTCATAATTTTAATAAAACAACTTTAGTAAAGATTTAATAGAGATGTTCATTTATATATTATTTATGTGAAAAAGAATTATATACAAGCTTTTTACTTAATCTTTTATATCGAATTTATTTCATAATCTCTTTTGCGAAAACAATATATATTGTTTAATATATTCTGCCATTAATTTATTTACAACAAATTTATAACGTAACTACAAAAAGAAAAAAACAAAGTGATAGAGGTACATTTTTACAGTTCGAAAAGATTTCAAATTTTTTATCGTATATTTAACAACTCATATTTCGTAAACCAAAAGTTATTGCCATTTGAAAAATTTTGTATTGTGTAAAGTAAAGGCACCAAAAGCGACATATCGTTTTTAAGACATATCGACATACCATTTCGTTTTTAGACGTTATGTCTTAATATAAAGCTCAAAATATAAATGTAAATATATATACATGTAGTTGGAAATACTTCCTATCAGATAATATCACATTTTTACTGAAATTGTTTCTAGATTTAAAACAAAAAATGTTTTCGTAAAACACATAAAAATGAAGTTCAAATAAAATAGGTGCCAAAAGCGACATACCTATTGGAATTTATATAACATGTCGCATATGATAATATGTGATAATAAATAGTTCATTAATGCGTTTAATGGTTGAATAATATTTATTTATTCAAAATATAATGTTACAAAAGGGAAATATAATTAAATAAGTGCATATCTTTTTCCATCTTTTTCATTTTCTCACATATTTTACATATGTTATATTTTTAAACTAAATAAAATTAAAATTTAAAATAAACAAATGTCACGTCCCAATGAGAGATTATTAATCAAGTTATGTCAGTCACAATGTATCGCACCTATCGCATACTATAGGTATGTCACTTTAAGAAACATTCTCATAAAATTTTTCAAGTTATACAGTAAAAGATAAAGGTAAAAATATTCAAAAAATATTTTAACAAAAGCCAAATGCATGTAAAAGAACTTAATATTGAACAAAATGATAATTATCGCTATTTAGTCTACGTAATTCGTCAATAAAAATCATAGAAGTAAAACTTGCGAATTTCTAAAACTCGATATTTGCTAATTTAGCATATAAAAGAACAAGAAATATACCAAGTATGAATTTTTTATGACTTAACTGATAAAACGGATTACGTTTATATTAGTTTCGATAAAATACAACATTTAATATATGAGATATGTCGCTTTAGGAGGCCTATGTCGCTTTTGGCTACTTTCCTCTATTACTGTAAAAAATAGTCAAGAAGAATTATTAAATCATGTTACTAAAATCCTCAGAATTGCCTCAGCAAACATATCGTTGTCATTAATACACCATTATATGTCATTTAGCGTCATTAATACGGATGTTCGTTGAGGTATCGCAGTTAAGCAAAAACTTTATAAACTCAATGCATATATAAACTTCAGATGCAAGCTAAATTAAGCTATCTAAGCAACGAATGACGAGTAAATCGCCCTTCTACGCCCCTGAATTCCTAATCAACGTTGCAATCCGATCGTTGCAAGTTCATGGTCGAGGGATCACCGTCTGGAGGTCATTATACGATATCTACATTCCGATTACGGTATTTCAAAAGTAAGTAGAGATACCGTAAACGCGAGAGACCGCTGCGTGATCGCCGTTAACGAAATCACCGCGGCCGAAAAAGCGAAAGGAAAATCGCGCCCACAGCGAGCGAGGCGACACTTCCGGGCGGAAACGCTCGGAAGGTCTCGATAACGGTTTCGACGAGGAGCCGCTCCGTCGCGCTATCGACAGATCACCCAGACCTCTCAAACACGGACTCATTAATAATCGCCCGGTTATTCACCTGGCGGCGAGCCCTCCGTCTCGTCCGGAGGTCTTGGCGTTAGGAAAGCGTTTACTCCGAATGTAGCGCTATACTCACGCATTCGTGCACGCGTGTCCGCCCGTGTGAAAGTAAACGTACGTGCGTGCGTGCGTGCGTGCGTGCGTGTATGCGTGCGTTGCGTTGCGTGCGCGGCTTATGTGCCCCGCCTGCATCGTGTCACACGACTTCGCCTTAACCTAGTGTCAGTGGCAGTGGCAGCAGCCGTGTGCCGTACGCGCGAGCGCTTTTTGGGTCTAGGTCTCTGCCGAGGGCGTTCACCTCGCTTACGTTGTTAACACACTTACCATACAGCACGAGGCCAATGACAGCGTTAGTGCGGCGCGGAGAAGTGAGGTAAGGCGCGCCGAGGTGGTTAGGTGCAGAGGAGGTGGTGAGACGAGGTGAGACGAGGCGAGCCGAGCAGCATCGCCTTCTACCTTCCATGGCGCGGAAGAGGAGAGGCGGCCGCGCGTCAGCCTACGCCACTACGAGCTGTAGGCACGTGGTCAAGAAGCTTCACTTTTAATCGCCTCGCGATTCAGCCGAGTTCTGCCGCCCGCCCCTCGCAAACGCGGAACGAACGTCGGCGGATCGCCGATGTGTCATCGATCTGTGTGAGCAATAGTGTCGGTATAATCCAGCTATTCCTGTACACCGTATAGCGGAAAGAAAGGTCCAAATATATACCACTTTTTTTCTCTGTCTCTTAAAATGTACTTAACAGGTACCATGCCTTTTTAGTCAAGCTATAGGTACAATTGGGTCCGGCGGACCCCAATAAATGTTTGCCATTTGCAACATGATAATAAAAGGTAGAAAGAGAAACGCTTTATAATTCGAAAATAATATTTACGAATATTATATTACAACTAGACATATATAATAACAGTCTCAGTTTTTCAGTAATCTAAACGTTAATTGATTATAAAATGAACACAATGTGGACAGTGTTGAAATAAAATATACTGAAAGACAAATAATCGGAAAAAGAAAAAAATTTATGTTTTAATCTAAGTCTACAAATTATAGATTATATAAAAAATATAAACAAGTATTGTTAAATTAAATACAATATTAAAATCTTAGAGGGGTTTTAAATGCAATCGTTACAGATAGTGCTTGCACATTTGGTGCATACTGGTTCATTGCATCTAACATATACTTCTTTGGACTTTATATCTTTACTTCTAGAACATTTATTACTCTGGCAAAATAATTTTAGACCTTTCAGTTTCTTCAATTTTTAAAATAGATGAAGTTATTAAACGCAATGGCTTATGAATATATTGAGTTGTAAGACGTCTTTTAAGTTCAGGTTCTACTAATTGAAAGGCAAGAGCTCTTTCGCGTGAAGAATGAGTCATATTGAGCTGAAGATTAAGAAAATTATTTTCATAAAAGTAACGTTAACGATACAATGGGGTCACTGTGACCCCAGATGGAAAACAAATGCATATAATTCACAGCTACTTACAAATAACTCGATGATCTTTTCTTTTCACCCTGAAAACTGTTACTTGAAAAGTACTGAAGATATTATAGTAGATAGTCATACAGTAGATAGTTTAGGAATTATCACGAAAATAAAATTAGTTGGGGTCCCTGGGATCCCATGGTATTTGTTACGGGTTAAATTTATTGTAGGCGAATATACGCGCTATCAAACAAGTGGAACGTCTACACTATAATACTTGTAAAGAGAATGCGTTTAAAATGATTTTATGTTTTTTTTTTTAAGTTATTCACACTTTTCTGAAAAGAGATATTTGCACTGCTTGAAAAAGAAGTCCAAATATGAGCTATCTTTGTAATTTCAGAGTAGCATGGGATTTAAGGTAAAGAAACGCGTTAAACATGCTTATAAGCAATGTGATGCGGAACATATGTTACAAATTAATATATGTTATAAATATATGTTACAAATAAAAAAAAACATTTGGCGGCAAGCGTTTATGTATTGATAATTCTGAATTATTTTTATACCTGCAATATTTAATATTGTAATATTAATATTGTAGTATGTAAAATATAGTGAAAAGATGCGAGTAGATGCTCGTCATTTGCGTAGCGATGTGACAATTAAGTGATTGCGCACGTTACCGAACGCGCTGCTCTTGGAACCATTTCCGCTTATATATCTTAATATCCATATAATTTAAATATAAAATAATATATATGGATGGATTCAGGATGAAAGATGCTAACTTTTTTAGTCGTATAATAAATTTGAAAAATTAAAAATTAAATCTAAAACGGCTTTTTTGTTAATTGTTAAAGATATTTTTTTTCTTAATCTAGCCCATTTTATTTTTTATAAAAAACCGTACAACTGTTTAAAAAGTTTTTTTCTTCCAACAGTTACAGAGTTTTTTTCTTCCAACAGTTACAGTTTATTTCCAACAGTTACAGAGATAGTAAAAAGGGATAAAGAGGCAGTTTTATCTGTTAAATCAATATTTTTATTGCCTTTTATTATTGATAAAAAAATATAGGTCTCTTTGGCTGTTCTATAAATATATAAAGTTTCATCAAAATTGAAGATATACACTTCGCGAATGTTTCTTGTGAGAGAAATTATTTGATAAGAAATTAACAAACGAATATTTCCAAATAAAATACCGATAAATTTTTATATCCGATCAGGAAATATCCGATAAAAAATATCGATTCATAATTTTTTGATTAGTTGATCTGATAAAATGCTATTATGATGAGAAGTATTCGATTAAATTTAATCGGATATCTTAATCAAATATAAAAATTTATCGATATTTTGATTGAAAATATCCGTTTGTTAATTTTTTATCGTATAATTTATCTCAATGTTATAAATGAGAAATAGAATATCTATATGACTTTTCAAATATCAAAAAATAAAAAATATATATATCTTAAACTGGCTCGAAAACAATCGTACAATTAAGCTTCGCTACATGCCACACAAAAAAATGCAACAAATTATGCAAATGTTTTTCAATAAAGTGTAACACCATACAAAGTCAAAATATTATATTAAACTCATATTTGGACTTTTAAATAAAGGAAATTACCTATATTTAGACCTTTTCCTCAACTCAGATCTTTCTAGATTCATGAATACTACTCGTCTTCTCAAAGCCGCGGGTAAAATAACAGAATAGAATAGGTAGATAACATGAAATAGTCTGTTTTTTCTATAAAACACTGCATTCTGATAGCAACTGCTGAAAGTTGCATTTGTTATAAAACTCATCATACATAATTTGAATGTTCCGTCGTTGCATTCACGCACACTACCAGGCGCGCAGCTCACAGATGTGTGTACTTCTAAAGAACGACGCGGATTTGCTGGAATTTACTAAAAAATATCTGCTTCGTTAAGCATCAAAGACGAAAATGGTTCAGGACTTTTCGATTCAATTTTTCATAAGGAATAACGCTATGTACTTCGTGGGCAGAGGTTAATAAACACTCTGTATATCTCTCTCCCTTTCTTTCTGTTTCGTGCAGCGCCAACTGCTGTACGGAAAGCAAGTTATGCAACGACCTTCTCGAAGCCAATTTCCGCGGTCGATGCCTTCGCCGGCACCTTGCAGGAGAATTTCAGCGAGTCTCGGCCGTCGCCGCTACGTGGCGACATGCATGTACGCCATTTTTCTTGCAGGAAAATCTCGCCTCGGCGGGATAAGAGAGCCAGCTCGTCGCTTCGAGGCCTTTTAGAATGCTTTACATGTTAGATCATCCTCCATACGGACGCTTATTCCAGTGAAATTATTTTAGGAATCTCAAATAGCCACCTCAAATTACAATAGCTACCGTCAGGTTGGAGAAAAGTCCACAAGATCTCCAAAAATTAAGTAGTCTGCAGCCTCCACCATTGCGTGGAACTTCTTTAGTAATATCTCCGCTCAGATATTCTTTTAAGTTTTACGGGATCTAACCGTGGGAAGCAACGTGATCGCTGTCGTGCAGTCATGAACACTTAGCCGTAGAACGTCTTGCTTCAGTCCTCCTTCTTCAGGACTTAAGTTCTCTATCGCGATACATATATTATTGGGAGTACAAATAAGTCTCCGCCGTTTGACAAAAGATGGCCCCATAAGTTATGGTTGAAATTGTCAGATGTAAAACGTCATATCGTAAGGTTGGACATCTGGCAACACCATAACCTTGAAATATCAGCACCACAATTTTTTTCGTGCGAAAGTGTCGAGTTTTGGGCCAAATAAGCGTCATTTGCGGGAACTTTTGATTTACTTCTTTTAATTTGAAGAAATCTGCAGCTGAGGCGCATCGATTGCTTGTAGAAGCATATGGTGAGGCTGCTTTAAGTGAGAAAAGTTGTCGTGAGTGGTTTTAAAAGTTTAAGAACGGTGAGTTTGACGTCGAAGACAAAGAACATAACGGAAGGTCGAAAGTGTACGAAGACGTGGAATTGGAAGCATTATTGGAGGAAGATTCGTGCCAAACGCAAGAAGAACTTGCACTTACATTAGGAGTGACTCAATAAACAATTTCACATCGTTTGGAATGATTCAAAAGCAAGGAAATTGGGTTCCATATGAACTGAAGCCGAGAAACGTTGAACGCCGATTTTGCACATGTGAAATGCTGCTTGCCAGGCATAAACGAAAGGGTTTTTTGCATCATATAGTCACTGGTGATGAAAAATGGATCCACTACGATAATTCAAAGAAGAGGAAATCATGAGGACCACGTGATCATGCTTCAACATCGACAGCCAAGCCGAATATTCATGGAAAAAAACTCATGTTGTGTATTTGGTAGGATCAGTTTGGTGTCGTGTATTATGAGTTACTTAAACCGAACGAAACCATTACTGAGGCTCTCTACCGAACACAATTGATGAGATTGAGCCGAGCACTCAAGGAAAAACGCGCCCACTACTACTCCAGACACGACAAAATTATTCTCCTGCATGATAATGCTCGTCCACATGTTGCGGCGCCGATCAAAACCTACTTGGAAACACTCAATTGGGAAGTTTTACCCCACTCGCCGTATTCACCAGACATTGCTCCCTCTGACTATCACTTGTTTCGATCGATGACGCATGGCCTGTCTGAGCAGCACTTCACATCATATGAAGATACCAAAAATTGGGTCGATTCGTGGATAGCCTCAAAAGATGAAGCGTTCTTCCGACGCGGTATCCGTATGCTGCCCGAAAGATGGGAAAAAGTAGTGGCTAGCGATAGACAATACTTTGAATAAAACATAAGGTACCGTTCTTTCACAATAAATGCCCAATTTTTGATAAAAAACGGCGGAGACTTATTTGTACTCCCAATACAAATCTCTAACTCCGAAAGAGGCAATACCTTTCAGCACGAAAGCGTCGAAGAATTACGGTTGTCATCCAAGACACCTCACGTCTGTTTCACACGACACTCGAAGGGACTGCTGGATAGAGGAAAATTGGCGACGAAGTCCACGTTTTGTATCGCGGCGACTCTTAATCGATTCTCTACGCGAACCAACCGCTTTCCATCCTACACACAAAAAAAGATCTAGCTAGAGCTAAAAAATAGCTGTGGCAGATAAGATGTGTCACTGAAATAGAGACAGCTAATGTCGATACTATCAAAGCTAAATTTATTTGCTGTTAAACTTAGGCGAGAAACTACAGCGAGAAATATTAGCTGCTAGAAATAAATGACTGTAACAAATGATTGTAGTTGTACGGCAAACTTCTTTAATACATGCATACGATAAGAAATTTAGGAATAAATGCTTTTCTTAGCTACTGCCATTTTCTTAGCTACTTGAAATAATTTTTAATGTCACCTAATATATTTGTATTTCATAGCGAATGCATTTTAGCTGTCATAGCCAATTCTTAACAGTGACAGCTAAACGATTAGCTTTTTGACTAAGTTTGAATCAGCTACCGCGGTTTAGTTGATATTACTAAATCATTTTTTTGCGTGTAGGGTCGGTTGAAACACGCTCCCTCTCTCTACTCCCCCCCCCCTCTCTCTTTATATATATATATATATATATATATATATATATACATATATTAAAATAAATCAGTACAAAGTAAATACTCTGACAAATACATATCATCTTTTATTTTGACATATTCTAATAAAAAAACTGAATATTTCGTAACATATCCATCTTTTATTGACTTTAGCTTAGTACTTTCATGCACAAAATAACTTGAAAAATAAATAAGAATTGCTAATAATGAGAGAAGAAATAATTGAATACTCGATAGTATCTATCCATGAAGATATTGGATGGATATACGAGCATTCGAATACCCAAATGTTCAGATACTAGAATAATACTCAAAATACTCGGATATCCGGATAGTATTCTAAATACTCTGAATTGATATCTAAAACTCTGGATTGATATTTTGTAATAAATATAGTTGTCTCGTGACAAAATTCGACCTTGGAGCACTGATGGTCGAATAATTTAACCCTTCGCACTGGATAACATCGTTTGATGGATAAACAGTCGAGTCAAAGCTTATCTATTCATTCCGCATCATTTCTCAATTCTGCAAAAGTACAAAGGAATAGTCGGCAAGTATAATAGCAATAAAACAATATATCCACGAAATTCTGATGGACAAGACAATAACGCGAAGATAGAGATTAATCGTAAAACAGATGTGATAATTGTAGTTTGCGAAAGAAACCCAGAGAGTGTGAGAATATGGAAAGCGAGGAACTGCTTTTGTAAGATAAATCGATGAAGCACCTTTGATCGGTGGCAAAGATAAGAAGATAATAGATCGAGATCGGTAATTGAGCAGCATCTGGGTACTTGTATCTATCGATTAATCTATATAGACAATTGAACGCACAGAGAGAGAGCCATTAATCACAAGACTCTCGCCGAATCCAATCCACAAAATAGTTTGTTGCTTAATAACAAAATTATTGCGAGACATATTTATATCGTCCTCAATAAACTGATTATTTGATAATTAAGATAACTTCTTGCAACATATTTCTTGTAACGAAAATTATGTCATTAAGGGGATATTCTCACATTTGGCGGAGTCAAGAAATCGACTTTTTCTAATCGTATATTTTGAAAGTATGCTATCTCAAAAATGTATCTCTAAAGTAGCATGTTTGAATCTAAATGAGTCAGAGATATATCTGATTCGAGTGTCATTTAGATAATCAAGTGAGTCGCGCGCTAATATTGCCGAAACGATACTCTATAATTCCGAGTACTTGAATAATAATAGACGTTCAAATCTCTATGGAAATGTTATAGAAAAGTTTATAGAATATCTTCTTTAAAAAAAAAAGACATAAATTATATAAATCCAATAAAATTGCATAAACAATCGCACATAAGACGTCTTTCAGACGTCGGACTATGAGACGTCTCTAAGACATCTTTTAAAACGTCTTTAAGACGTCTTATATCTCGATTTTAGACGTTATATTTTAGTAATGCATAATCTCTCATAAGAATGCCAGCGTGCTCAAAGTTGCGAACCTTGGCAAAATAAAGTAAATGAAAAATTTTAAATTAAATGCATTTATTAGGTTATTTCATAATCCTATATTTATAGGATTAAAGATCCCTGGATATTTCATCAATAAATTAATATAGATCAATTGAAACCTGAATCACGAAATAGCAGTATAATATTGTTATTTAAAAATGGCGTACTAAATACGTAAATCAAACGAGCGTTTGGATTTCCTTATAAATAGACAAGAAATGTATCTCCTCCACATATCTCTTCATTCCTTCCATTTGTTTATTCGAATAATTATATCACAAGACTTTCGTTTAACATATATCGCTGAAGAAGATCCAAACCGGATTGAAGCTCTTGTCTCGTCCCATCGATGCACACATGCACGCACTTGGTTCGCCATTCTTCGATAACGTTGGTTACGCACAACATCCACAGGTCAGACTCCGATTGGTTCATGTTTTACCGAGTCAGTTATATCACTTCACATTAAGCGGCTATCGAGTCTCGCAAGAGACCTTTAAGCGCCGTCGTTGCCGTGCCTTGCCTTTAAGGAGTTTATTCACTAAAACCAAAATACTTAAATTTACACAAAAATTTTACGTAACATTTGTCGTAGTAAAACACATGCATAGTTAAAGTTTCAAGCGATTTGTCTATATCGTATATTATGAGAAATTTAATACTGAATATCACAATTTTGCACGTATAATCATACCGTAAAAACAATATACATGGCCATTATTTCAGTAACTTCGTAAAACATGATACAATCCAAATAAAAAATTCATCGTTATAAATGTTACATATTAAGAAACGCGATACAGAAGAAAGAGTAGTATTCATTTTCCCCGTTTTTGTGTAATAATCAAAAACTGCTGTTTTAAACTTTGAGTAGTATTGCATTGAACGTAGCGAGTGAACGTACACTGAGAGAAAAATATAGTTGCTTTCGGCGTCAAATATACTTTTTTGTGATTTTAACCAGAAAAATAATTAAAAGAACCATCTTTCTAATAACACTTACTAAAACAATGGTTCCTCTAATTATTTTTGTGGTTAAAATCACAAAAGCGTATAGTTGGCGCCAAAAGCAACTATATTTTTCTCTCAGTGTAGTATTGAGTGAAACGTAGCGAATAGAAAGTATCAATTTTAAATTAAAATTTCTTATTTAGATAGTGAAATAAATATATAAAAACGTTATTTTATTCGATAAATAGTGAATTTATGAGTAACTTCCTTTGAAATGCGCCACTGAAAATACGCCCCTTGGGCATCTTGAAAATGCATAACTGTTGAATAAACTCCTTAACTTATTGCATCGAAATAATGTCTCCTAAAAGTTGTTCTTTCACGAGTTAAATGTGCACCCTATTAATCACAGATCTAACTTGATCTTATTCTTTCGCTAACGAAACCCTTAAGGCTTCTATTATCCTCCTATTATCCCAGATGCATAGCAAAGAATGTCCTTTTAATTTTAAGTTTTATTTTTTTATACGGGCGTCATGTGTGTGTGCGTAACGTTGTTTTTATTTGAGAATCAGAAAGGCATATTTAGCTTCCGAAACAAGTTCGATAAAGTTCCAGATCACTCGTCGAAAAACTCTTGATTCATGACGTTATATTACAAAATGAATTGTATTAAAACAATACATTATTTTACTTAATATGTGTCCCCATTTTTAACACATATTAGCAATTAAAATTAAGAAGTTACAAAAGGAATCAAAATTCTTGTAGAATATGCAGAAATAAAAAGATACGTTGACAAAATGACACCTCCAGTTGATCAAGTAGATCTATAAAATAGTTCAAATATCTTCCTTTTGTTCTAACAATCAATAAATTATCGTAAATTCTTTATATAAATATATTCTTCTTACCAATCTGTATTAAATTAGGTAAATAAAAAACAAACAGGGATCCTTAAAGGAATAGTTATTCTCTTTCTGTCTTTTATCTTTCTATAAGAAATTTTAACTAATAAGAGTCACGTAGATCAACAGTTACAATTAATTATTTATTGCGAGGAGGTAATAATATCGAGTAAATATCGCACGTGCCAAGACGTTTTCCAGTTTTAAATAGAGTATTTTTACTTTTCCTCTCATTGTCGTACGTTAAGATTCCCGTATCCTAGCCGCAGTCATTTTAATGAAGGACATTAGAAGCGAGCAAACATATACCCAACATTCTTACGAAATATATCGAGATAAAAAATTATATTCATAAAATGATACTTGTGATCGATTAAGCACATATGTAAAATACTTGGAAAACTATCCTTTCATTCTAACAATCAATAAATGGCCGTAAAATTAACATGACAAAATCATGAAGAAATGTAGGTTAAGAAGAAAAGTTGCATATCACGGTTACTTATTGATTGATATTTTAGAACAAAAGGAAGATTTTCGGAATATTTTACAAATGTGCTCAATCGATTCCAATGATTACTTTATGGACATATCCTTTTATTTAAACGTATTCCGCAAAAATTTCGAATATGCATTTTTTTGTTTTGACATCATCAATTGAGAATTCACGGCAAGAAAAATTTACGACACAAAAGTTGTAAATTAATAGGAGTATAAATTTTCTGTTATATTTTGTTATGTCTATTAAAGAGACATTTAACAATATCTTAGTGCAAAAAAATTGGAAAAGATTTGATTATAAGATTTTAAACGCGTTATTCTCGAGATAGCGCTTTTTAAATCTATAACTATGATAATTTGGGAATGATTTATTCGATTAACTTAATGTTTAACATAAATGTTTATTATAATTGTCTGTACCGAAATTCATGGAGGCTTTCCATAAATTTTAAAATCATTCTTCATTTATTTATTTTACAAGCTTGAATTTTTTTAGTGAAAAGTTTAAATTTATAATTATTTATAATTATAAATTATTTTATATTATATTATAATTATTTATAATTATTTATTAAATGCATATTCTTCATTTATTTATTTTACAAGCTTAAATTTTTTAGTGAAAAGTTTAAATTTGACTTTTGTGTAACTTCCATTTTGCACAACATTGTTTTTTTCTAAATCCACTCTATGAATCGATAACTGTAACTCAAATAAATAAAAAAAATGTATTAATACTGACTTCAGATCATTCCTATTAGAATGATTATCATGGAAGCATGATTCTTTTGCAGAACAAAATTGAAATGATGTTAACATTCATCATTTTATATCAAAATATTATTAAATATATAAAAAATATATGAAAATATATACAAAATATTATTAATAGACATACACATTACAAAAAATTCATGCTTCTATTAATATTATACAACTTTTTATAATTCCCAGAATTTTATTTAAACTTTATTCCTGAAACCCCTTAAGATCTAATTATTCTTCCACAATAAATAATTAATCTCTACCTGCCTATATGACTCTTATTGGCCAAAGATTCTTACTGATTGTGTCTCATGGAGGAGCCACAATACAAATTCTCTTTCTCTTGCTGCATTCGGAGCAACGGCGCGTTCGAGGGGCACGCGCTCGCGAAGCGAAATTACGAACTTTACGAGTACCGTTACTCCCGGCGATGCGAGGCGAATCGTCCGTTTACAGCCGTTAAAACCGATCGTAACTCCCACGTCACCGATAAGTTTCTGGCACGAAAGGTCAGCGCGATAAGGAAACGTGCCGGGCGAAACGCTTAGCGCCGCCGCCGCCGTCGCAAAAGTCCACGGAGAGACTTCCGCCTCCTCGCAGTCGTCATCGTCATCGTCATCGTCGTTGTCGTCGTGACGAAATTCACTCTCGTCCCTATACAGTTAGCGGCGGCTCGCGCGCCGGTACTTTCGTTGACGCCGAGTGGAAAAGTACCCTAAACGCGATCGGTACGAAACGCGCACGGCGGCGGCGCGCGTTTTATACCGTTAGACCTCAAGGTGATCGCTCCGGCGAGCTGTGGCGGCGGCGGCGGCGGCGGCGGCGGCGGCGGCGGCGGCGGTGACGACGTCGGCGGCCCGAAGCCGCTCGCGCACGGAAGACGCGCGCGAGAGAGGAGAGGAAAAGAGGCAGGCGAAGTAGGAAACGCCATGAGAACGTTCGACATGAATGAACCGGCGGACTCCCGACACCGTTATCGTTATCGCGGGGCTTCCTCTGACGTAGGAATCGTGCTGCGAGTGAGCACAACGCGCGTCGCGATCGCGGAGCTGTCCTGTCGGGACGATCGTCGGAGAATGTCTTGATCCTTTGAACGCAAAGCAGCAGCCTTTCTCTCTCTTTCTCTCGCTCTTTCTCGCTGTTCCTCGCCGGAACGGCGTCTTCGAGGCTGCAACAATCATTTCGGCCGTACCGTTGGAATACGCGCCTTTGAGAGATACTAGCGTGATTAGCAATTCCGAGGACAGAGCGATTCATGTCGCTACGATTTCTCAACGTCCGCACTGAGAGGAAAGAAGTGCTGGAGTCGACAACATGTCGACTCAAACGAAACTCGTTCTAGTGCGCTGGTGCCAATTCCAGGCACCTGGGTACTACTCTAATACCCGAGTCTTTCGAATATTAGTAGGGTATTCAAGTCTCTCTAGGTTTTACCCAAGTATTTCTCGAACTGGGAGAGGCCAGGGTCAGGTGGCACATTTTTAGCAGGGAAAAAAACCACGCCGTTGGTGTAATTGGATTTTCTGTTATCTGGGAACTAGATGAAAAACTCGGTTGCAGGAACAAACAGATTGCTGTAAGGGGTTTCTACTCAGCCAACTGCTATCGAGTTTTAACGCAACTGGACATTTAAACAAATATTATATGTTTACGGTAACAAAGATATTAATTCTCGTGAAATCGTCTTCCGTACAGAATTTCGAAGTCGCACTTTCTCAGACAACTGATTGTTGTGACTGACTGCATAAACATAATACAGGCAACATTCTTCTATGTTTTTACGTCCGCTATGATTTTTATATTTTCTTCTGTAATAGCCGAAATCTTGCAACGTAATTATTTTATCCTGGCACCGAGTCAATTAGATTAGAAACTGAAGATGAGAAAGTATAAAACATGTCCTGATTACTAGTTCTAAAGTCCCTGTGACAAGTCTCTACAATCCTATCAGTCCTATCAGTCCTTAAATAGGGTCCAACTTTGTCTCATCGATCTATATGTCTCGAATAAGTACATAAACAAAGCACATGGTCGACATACTCCTTTGGCCAACTAAATTTGGTCTCCCCTATTAGAGTATTTCGAGTATTAGCCAATTATTTTTAAACCTTTCAGGTTACCAAGGAATTTCTCAGATTACTCGAGAATCTCGGGTACTATTCTTTTGCGTATTATCCGAATACCAAGCAATTTCTCCAATTACCACAAAAATAAAGAAGAAGTCACAATAAGAATAACCATTAAAAGTAAAAGAAAAAGTTAAAATTGGCTCTAAGATTTTAAATATAAAAAAAAGAAAGTAAAAGGAAAGAGCATTTAAGAGCTATTATTAGAGTATCTCGAGTATTAGCCAATTATTTTTAAACCTTTCAGGTTACCAAGGAATTTCTCAGATTACTCGAGAATCTCGGGTACTATTCTTTTGAGTATTATCCGAATACCAAGCAATTTCTCCAATTACCACAAAAATAAAGAAGAAGTCACAGTAAGAATAACCATTAAAAGTAAAAGAAAAAATTAAAATTGGCTCTAAGATTTTAAATACAAAAAAAAGGAGGTAAAAGGAAAGAGCATTTAAGAGCTAGGCACAGAAGGGTGTAAAAGTGCAATCAATATATTACAATGTAATAAAGACTACGGTAATAACGGCATACAGGTATTTATATCTTTTTGTATTTTCCTCTCTTTTTGTCTAATTGTGATGCATTTTTGGCTTATTCTGTTTTTTAATTTTTCTTTTCTTCAGATTAAGTATTTTTAATCGTTCTCCTTTTTGTCATCATTGCGGAGGACTATTTCGTTCAATTTAGCTGATCGTCTACCTAAATGTTGTTGACCACATTTTGTCATTGGTTTGACTATGGAGAGAGGATTGATAGCTTTTGTTCGTATGCGAATACCAACTTTTGTTCTAATTTGCGTTTCTAACTTTACTTGCGTGCGTTTCTTTAAGTTTTGGTCTTCCGTAACGATTGACCCTTGCGCTTGAACTTCTATTTCTTTCCCATTGTATTTTCTGAAGAGGACCCAAATCGGGTCGAAATGTAAACTGATATAACCAATATTATAGTCTTTGTTACATCGTAATGTATTGATTGCACTTTTACACCTGTGCCTAGCTCTTAAATGCTCTTTCCTTTTACCTCCTCTTTTTGTAAACAATAAGAATAAGTAACTTGGCTACCCGAATATCCAGATAATTTCTCAAATATGCCTGCAAATTTAAGTACTCAGGAAACGTTAACATCTGTGAATTTGCATATCTGAGTGACATTCGAATATAGAAATACCTCTATTACGACACTAAACGTCATGTCGATATTAGGTTGACTGAACGAATTATGTGATTACTGTGACTATGTGCAATCAACTGATTCGATGATTTGATTGGCAACTATGTCAACGCAATATATTGTTGCGTCAACGCTTAATTTGTTCGATGGATACGAGATTCGTCCAATCGAGACCGATTAACGATTAACAATCTTGTCAACTCAGTCGTTTTACTTCTCTACGCAAGTAATATAAACAGTTAACGGACAATTTAATCAATATTTTTCTTCTTCTCCATTTCTTCTTTTCTTTCTTTTTATTGTCTTATTTTTCTGTTTCTCTTCTTTTGTCTTTTATTTTGATCATCGATTAATTTTGAAGCTTAATTGTACTGAGATATCGTGTCTTATATTGAAGGCATCGTGATATCCTCTCCGATAGGTTGTCAGCAGCTATTCGCATAAATAATCCTCTGATCCTCTCGAGCGATATATCAGTTTACGGATGTTGCAGGGAACTTAAGGACGAAAGAACGCGCAGTCGCAGCGCGAATATCCGATCGCAGAGTCGCTCCCTGTCGAGCCGATACTTCGACGCAACATGAAACACGGACATTTTTGTGACAATCGTCTCAGTCACGCGACACACCTGTGTGAGATGATCGGTGTCACGATACTCTGTGTTCGCGCGCGTAACCATTGCGAAATAAAACATAATCGAGTCGAATCAAAAGCGACATAAGCCTTTTAGACAGACGTCTCGACTAACTCCATTCCTTTTTATGCATAAACCTTAACGTTGTATCTTGATAAATAATATACATTTTGTGTGAATCACAGAATAGAAATTTGCGTTTGCGATATTCGCAATAATAGACGAGATATTAATTAAAAAAAGATTAGTGATTGATCACGCACGATATGGTAGATGAGCTGTGGTAACGATGTGTGCTGTTATGTACTTGTACATTAAGCCAAATTGAACAAAAAAGACATTTTACAAATGATGACATAGGTCTTTAGTTATTAATGAAAGAAAATTGTTACATAATTATGCGCGATAATGTACAACTCTTCTTAATATCTAAAAATCTATGTAGTCATTTGCAAAATAGTTAACAACTTCTTTGTTTTCAGTTTGACCTAATATATATCTATAAGTGTACGACGGCAGATGGCGCCACTACAGCTCATTACTATATCGCGCATGATCATTCACTAATCTTTGGTTGATATCTCGAGATTTATTACGAATATTGCAAAACGGTATAGGACTTTTATATTCACCTCAACCGGTTCTATGTTTTATGTTCACAAAAATTGCAGAGGAGAGTCTGGGACACCTTATACGTACATGGGTATGCGTATACCTTCTGTATAAAAAGTACCGGGAATCGTTAAAAAAAACACAGAATATTTTATTTATTCATCAAAATTTATTTTGTCGCCTTCAAAGTAATCCCCATCGTTTGCAATGCACATGTGAAAACGGCGAAACCAATCTTCCATGCATTTCTGGTAGGCCGATTCTGGTATGGCCTTCAGGACCCGCTGCGAATTCCTTTTGATGTCATCAATCGATGAAAAACGAGTACCACGGAGTGGCAATTTCAGTTTCGGGAAAAGAAAGAAGTCGCACGGTGCCAAATCAGGCGAATACGGTGGATGGTCGACAGAATTGACCGAGTTTTTGGCCTTGTAATCGGCCACAATCGTGGCTCTGTGCGCTGGCGCATTGTCATCGTGTAAAATCCACGAATTGTCTCGCCACAATTCGGGCCTTTTTCGCCGGATATCAGTGCGTCGGCACACGAAATTTCGTTTGCAACACAAAATTTGAGGCACACTCTTTGTTCGACTATTTTTTCCATGGTAAAATTCGCAGAGCAACACTGAGGTAGACTTGTTTGGACAGCTGCCATAAACAAACTAGTTGACTGATCGAGCTCAAGCTCCGGTTGGTAATGAAGGAAGGTAGTGCCAATCTAAAAAAAAAAACTTTTTACCGCTACCTCTTCCGCGGTTCATTTAAATGACAATTTCCCGGTACTTTTTATACAGAAGGTATACACACACATATAACTCCACACAATATTATTATGTTAACCTTTAAGATAATTTTTCCCTCAGTGTAATTATCAAATTAAATTCCGACCCGAGTATCTCTCTATTCTCGTTCAAATCGGAAACTGCCTGTATAAGAAACGATTTTACACGGAGAACAATAATTTGCTGGCCCAGCAAATTATCTTTCCTCATATTTTACTTAGAGCATATATACATGGAGGGGGAATGCTGGCACGAAAGTGTGTCCAAAATGTGTGCGAGAGAGAAAGTTGTACGTTCCTATTCGTCTTCTGTGCGCATGCGTTGACAGGTTAGGTTAGGTTATAAAGCTTGACAGGAGATAAAAGTTATTTATTTTCTTCTTATAGAGCTCTGAGAATTTTTTCATAATTTTGTATTAACTTTTTAGTACTTCAAAAAAATGCAGGAAAACGCAAGAAAATGCAGTACTAAAAAGTTACAAAATTCTGAAAAAATTCTCCGAGCTCTGTGAGAAGAAAATAAACAATTTTTATCTCTTGTTATTTTTCGGTAAAGTTGATAGAATTCAAGTAAAAAAATATTGAAACCAATAATTTTGTAGCTCAGCAACAACTGACGCATGTTGGCGCATGCGCACAGAAGATGAATAGGAATGTATACCTTTCTCTCTCGCACATATTTTGAACACACTTTTGGTCTACAGGAGGCATACGCAATTCCCCTTCCATATATACAGGATGCGTAAGATATTTGAGGACATATCTTTTTTTCTATAGCTGCACTATATTAAATTTATATTTTTTTTAAACAGATAAAAATACAATTCAGCTTACACAGGAAATGAAAAGACACGCTGTAATTGTAGCTTTAAGATCTGAGCACAGCGATTTAGAAATATTTCATTTTTTAAAAGTTGCCAGATCTTTCGTCTACAAGGTTCGTAAGTTGGAGACCGAAAATGGAAACGTATCACCAGTATCAAAGCGTAAAAAGCATTCTAAACGCTCTGACATAACCAGAACACTTGAATTTAACGCAGGAATGGATGGCTGAAAATTTTCACGACCACATTACTCCTAACATTTGGCCTCCGTCCTCTCCAGACCTTAATCCGTTGGATTATTACGTGTGGAGCGTTGTTGAAAGAGAGGTCAATGAACACTCCCATAACACCAAAGACTCTTTAAAAGCAGCCATAGTCAAAGTAATATGAACCAGAAGCATTTAATTCAAGCATGTAGACGATTTTGATCTCGCATCGAAGCAGTTATTGAGGCTGAAGGTGGTTTTATTGAATAAAATTATTAAAAATATAATTTATTCTTATCCTTATAATATTTTTCAGTAATAAAGTTAGTATCTTTTATTGCATATATTCTATTTTTTGAACATAAATCTGTCCTCAAATACCTTACGCACCCTGTATATGCTCTAAGATATTCTATTACCTTAATATTACATACCGACATATGATATACAATAACTGCACTAACAGTATTACGAAGCTGCCGTTACGAATAGATCGCAGATGAAGAATAGACCACCGCGCCTTCACGACACGTTCGGCAGGGCGACGTCGTGCGACACACCTGTCGGAACATCAGAAGTGCGCGCTCGACGAGGAGGCCCCCGGATAGACGAAGTGCGACCGTCGGTGACTCTCTCGTCGCGTATGCGTGCCGCGTGTTAAACCACCGCCGCCGCGCTCGCACGGCGCTGCACATGCACACGACACGCACGGCCGAGTCGTTCAGGAACTGCGATGCGTGACCTAGTGCCGTTGCGGCGGCGTTCCACCTTCGAACTAGGTCTTCCTCGTTCCCAACTCTAGGTCCGCTCGGCGAACGAG